GATGGTTGGTGGACGGCAGGCGGCAGCCAACGATGGTCGGTAGTGGGAGGTGGGTAGCGTCCCATGGCGAGTGTCCGTGGGAAGAGGGCGGTTGGTGGCCAGTGATGGGAGGCGGGGGGCGGCCCACAACGGGCGGTAGCGAGGAGGCGGGCGGCGGCAGGAAGAGGGTGGTCGATGGATGGCGGCTGGTAGCCGGCGATGGGAGGTGGGCGACGGCCCACGGCGGGGGGCAGTGAGGAGGAGAGCGGCTAGAGGCGGGAGCAGTAGCTGGTGGATGGTGGATGGCAGCCCACAGCGACCAACGGTGGGCAGCAACTGCAAGCAGGTAATAGCGGGAGGAGGAAGGCTGGCGGAGGGAGACCGTGGCCGGTGGTGGGAGGCAGGTAGCGACGGGGGGAGGGCGGTCGGCGGTGGGATGTGGGCGGCTGGAAGAGGGCAGTCGGCGGCGGGATATGGTGGCTGGCAGTGGGAGGCAGGCGGCGGGGGGATTCAGGCGACCAGCGGCGGGAGACGATAGCTAGTGGACGGCAGGCGGTGGCCCACGATGGGCAGTGGCCGAAGGCGAGCGGCAGTGGCAAGTGGCGGCGGGTGGCTACGGCTACCAAGAAATGGGTGACGATGGGCGATGGGCGGGCGACTAACTAGTAGCGAGGGTGAACGATGATAAGAAGAATTTTAACTTCTCATTTTTGTTTCAGAAATAAAAAAAGCAAAATTTTTTTTACTTTTGATTTATGTTCCAAACTTATTTTTGTTTCAAAAATTTGTTCTAGAAATAGCGTTACCAAACGGATTTCTGTTCTAAACCCTTTTTTGTAACAGAAATAGAGAAACAGAATAGTTATCATTTGGAGCCTTATAGTCTCATGTGATAGGGTCAATTAGGGTGCGTTTGGTAACGTTTTTACTTCTCTATTTTTCTATTTTTCTGTTCCCTAGAACAAAATAAGATTAGAAATCTGTTTGGTAACGCATTTTATTTTTCTATTTCCTGGAATAGAAAAATGATCAAGAAATAGATTTAGAACATAAATAAGAAGTAGATTTTTTTTACTTCTTTATTCCCAGAAATAAAAAAAGAAATAAAAAGGTCCGGTCCGATCCTCAGGCCACTGCCTCAACTCCTCCTCCATCCTCCGTTGTTTGTAGACCGTCTCAAAGCACCGGTCCGGTCCATTCCCAGCGGGAATAATAAAAAAAATTCATAAAAAATTAAAAAATTCCAAAAATTCATAAAAATCAGAAAAATTCTCAGAAAATCCATAAAAATCAGGAAAACTCAGAAAACCCATAAAAATTTACAAAATTCTGAAATTGAAAAAATTTTAAAAAAATTCATAAAAAAACTTTCTGGAAAATAAAAGAGACAAATTTTGGGAAAGTCAAAAATTTTAATAAAATTTTCCCCAAAAAAATAGAAAATAAAAATTCACAAAATGGCTTAGAATAAATTAAAAAATTCTGAAAATTTATAAAAATTTCGGAAAAATCCCTAAAAAATTAGAAAATTAGAAAATTCCAAAAATTCATAAAAATCAAAAAAACTTAGAAAACCCATAAAAATTTGCAAAATTCCTAAATTGAAAAAATAAAAAAAAATTCACAAAAAATTTTCTTGAAAATAAAAAGAAATAGATTTAGGGAAAGTAAAAAAAATTTTAATAAATTTTACCTCAAAAAAATCACAAAATGGTTTAGAATACCTGTGACCACCCACTTTAAGTGAAATTTAAAGTTTTTTGAGGTGCCCAAGTGGTATTTTTGAAGATTCCTTAGTTTAGGGATTAAAAGGGGTTTTAAACCCCTAAAAAGGATTAGACAAACCAATAAACCATGCTTATTGGTTTTTTTTTTCACTTATGACTTGTGCTTATAGTTAAATAAAAGATATAGATTTGAATGCAAAAAATTGGGAATAGAAATTTTTTTGATTGTACCAAATGCATTTCTGTTCTTTTTTTATTCCAGAAATAGAAATTTTGTACAGTTTCCAAATGCATTCTTTTGCTCAAAAATTAATCTAGGAAATAGAAATAGAAAAAACTATTTCTGAAAAGAAATTGTTCTCAGAAACAGAAATGTTACCAAACGTGCCCTTAATACATAAGGTTTATATGTCACCATATTAAAAAGCATAGATAGATTTAATTTGGTACTTGCAATAATTGCTCTAAAATGTTTGTGTCCAGGTTACAAAGATGGAGAAGAAAATCTTTGGGAAGAATTCGATGGCCATGCACCTTACGAAGCAATATATTAGCGATTCATCCGTCGCTTACATGTATTTTCTTTGTTTATAGTGTTACTTGCGTGTACGATTCTATTTCATACCAGATGATCACAATTTGATGTGTTAGAAAGATAACTATTTCATACCATTCTGTTGCATGCGGACAGAGCCCAAGAACTCGGCCCACCCCGTGTCCCTTTTAATCATAATAAATAAATAATAAATAGAAATAACCACACACAAAAAAAAACAGGAGAGAGAATTAGACTTGCATTGCAGATTGGGTTTGAGCGTAATAATAAAAAATTAATTAAAGATAAATGAATAAATGAAATATCGAAATCGAAAAAAAAGAAGAAGAAAAAAACTGGAAAATGGTTAAAAATTAGGTCTTGATTAGATTGTTAGATCTTAGTATTAGATTTAGATTAATTTTATTTAGTTAGTATTCACAAAGTTTAGGGAACTACGTGGTTTTCTTTAGGTTAGTTTCATGATTTAAATTATAAATTAGGTTTAGTCATGACTTAGTGTTTAATTGAAATAATTCCAGGGATTTTAATAGTTTAATATCACATAGATGTAGATTCAATTCATAGTTCACTCATAACTCTCAAGATAAAAACTATATAGCTTAGGCTAGAAATCACTTTAAATAAATGTACATGTGATGTGGGAAGAGCCGCTACTTAGCACAGGCTTGAAAATGATTAATGAGCGTTAGCTATTCTAAAGCCGGATTGTAGGCCTACAACGCCTACATCCAACACCGGCTCAACAAGACGCACAGCCCCAACCTCCGCAAGATCTGGACCACCCGCGGCTGGGACCGCAAGGTCCGCATCTAATGGCATGCTCAGTGTGGCATCCATACAACACACATTAGAAACATTTTAGCTTTACTCCCTCCACCCACCCGGGAACCGGACCGGACCGGCGATTCGATTTTCGGGTGGATCCATAGAACCAACCTACGGTTTTCAGTTCCCATTTTTCAGGACCAGTCCTTAGTAGGTAGTTATTGGTTCCAAGATGGCAGCCGATCACCCTAGCAGCAGTGAGGGCCTTACCCTCTTTTGTTTTTTGTTTTTTTTTTATAAATAATTTGGCTTGTTTTTTACTCTAATTTAAATAATATCTAGATTTAAAAAATCAAATTTAGACCAAAGCGGCAGCATTTTGACCTTGCCATTCATGTTTTAAAAACATTAGCACAACATAGGAGAGCGAAAACAATAAAAAGAAGTCGCGTCAGCGTTTTCCATTAACCAAGTCAAACGGAATTAACGGAAGAACTTGATTGCACCAATGTGATAATTGTAGGGTTCGATTTTTTAAAAGTTTTATGACTCAATTGCTCTTGCGTGACAAATTTTATGACTCACGGTGTACTTATCTCTTGTTTTTTTTTTTTTAATCCAACTCATCTAACACATGTCAATGACCTGAATAAAATATTCACCCCATCTCGGCAGTTGAAGTAATAACAACATAATAGAGGGTGTTGCAATATGCAAATTTGAGAAGAGTAGTGATGCCTGACGACCTCTGAATTCATGGATCCTTCCCATGCGTTGACAGGACCAGCACCTCATTCTGGACTCGGGAAATCTTTGGACACTTGCATTTGGACAAGAAGAAATTACAAGAATCGAAGGATTCGCTCGACAAACACCTCTACACGGTAAACTTTTTTTTTTAAATGGCGGGTCTATCGGAATTACGTCGAGAAAGAAATGCCGTGGAATCGAATATGTCAGAAGAAATTCTTAGTGTCTTAAATTAAATCCAATTGGATTACAATGAAAGTCTAATTACTATATTCAACACTATTCTGCACATTTAAGTTCCGGAACACAACTTTGGGTAAAGCTGCAACAAAAATCATCATTTAGACTCCGTTTGTAATGTGAAAAATGAGTGATTTGAAAAATATTTTCCTTAAAATAATCACATATATCGATTGAAATAATTGGTTAACAACAAATGTTGTTTTATTATTGGTTCGTATCTAAACATTTGCGTAGACAATGAAAATATATTTCGTTGATTTATTTTTGCAGGCGATACGGATAATCATTTTTAGGAAAATGTTTTCCAGGTCATTGATTTTCGAAAACAAGCACACCCTTAATGATATAATGAATGGATTGCCAAGCCAACAAAGTCAACAAAACTTGGAATAAGAAGCATGTGGAAGCCCAAATTCCAGTTTTTAGCAATCGTTTTCAAAAGTATTTTTTTTTTTGCTTTGATTATATTCGTAGATAAGCAATGTTTTTTTTCCCGAACTTTTTAATTTCAGTGAATGAAAAATTCTAATAGAGTATGTTGTATTTTGAATAAATGAATATTTATCTACTAGCAAATTAACATTAGCACGGTTGTGCACATCATTATTGTCGTAGTGGAGGAGCCACGATTTAGGTTGGGAGGGGAAGGCGCGAATTTAATGCGGAAATAGAAGCCTGAAAGTTTTTTGTTTTTTGTTTTTTTGAAAATTCGATTAAACTCACACGAGGTAAAATGCATTTTGCACAGCGTCTTGTAACCAGGGGTACACGTTAGCACGTCGGTATATAGATAATTGCATTTACAAAAAAGCACTTTACCTTGTGTGCATTTAATCGAATTTTAAAAAAAAAAAAACACTTTCGGCTTATATTTCCACATCAAATAAAATTTTGAAGAATTTTTAATTTTGTAAATGGAATTATCTATTTGAATCTAAATAAGTAATGGACAAGAAAAATATAGCGGTGTACTATTAATAATGTATAAGGGTTAAGGCACAAAGCAAATGACCAGCTCTCCCGCTTGTGGCCGTCGCCCCAACGGTGGTCAGCAAGGTCACCGGCGCCTCAGCGAGGGCCGGTGACCCTCACCAAAAGCGGGAGACAGCGGCGATGCTCTCTCAGATCGGGCCTCCCCCATATCTGGGCGACGGTTGCCGCCCTTCGTCCCAGTTCGGGGGAGGGTCGCCGGCCGCCGCCGCCGCCGCCCGCCAGCAGCCCACCCGCTGGTATTCTTTTTAGTTTCTAATTTAATTTAACTAAAATTTTATGTTAAAATTGTTTCCCTCAGTCGGCGGTAGTTTGAACTGGCGGGGATTTTTGGGCACGTCCCCCAAGCCGAGGCCATTTCTCGTAGGGTTTCGCCAAGTCTGAAGTCTCTGTCCGATCACCGGCCATAGTCGGTCATTATCGAGTTCCTGTGTGCTTGATTCCCTCCTCCTCTTTGGACGTGTCTCGTTTTGGCCGATACGCCGGATTTCGCCGCCAAGATCGCTGCCTTCACCAGACAGAGACAATGCGGTCGCGGCAGTCAGCTGAGGTGGAGACAATGCCGCCATCTCCAAAGCTTTTCTGGTGGCTATCTTCTTCTGGTAAATGGCGGGCCTCTTGGTCCTTGTAATGTTTCCATTATAAAATGTAACTTCTCTGCAAGAACAATGGAGTCCAATTGAAAGATAGAGATATTTTGATGATGGTCTTTTTGGCAGAAGTAGTTGGGGGGCGACCTTTCAGGGTTGAGTTCTTGCTCTAGCTAGCTATAGGTTCCCAGCTTAAAATTTGACATCTTTTGAGAGCTGAAGCAGCCGATTGCTGAATTGTTGGTTCCGCGTACAGATAAGAAAAGCGGGACCAGAATGGACAGGATCCAATTTCGAAAGCCATAATCAATGCAAAACTATCAGTTTATCAAGCCATCACAAGATTGAGCCTACCATCTCTTGATTTGGATGGTAAAGCTGTAAAGAAGTTTTGGCTTGAGACTCTTGTATAATTCACTGATGCTGCTGAGGCATGTTTACTATCTGTCCGGAGGAATTTGAGGATGTGCGAAGGTCTATTCTGTGCTTTGCTTACTGGGGTGACTCCAATTGCTGTCACCAAGGGTGGACAGCTGCTATGAGTTTTGCTCGTTCACCTCAAGCTCCTTGTACCGACCTGCATGTGCTCAGGTGCGTTTAAGAAAGGAATTATGCCTGTTAGCGTCATCCATTCACAATTTAATCTAATCGATGTGTTCATCCATCTAATCCTTTTTCTGGGACTACAATTTGTGGCGGGCTGATGCATGAGCCAGTAGCCATGGAGCCATGGTTGAGAGTGTAATGAAGGCAAGCTGTGAAGTGATTGAATATGGCTGGAGCAAGGACCGGGCTTCTATAAACACTTTTATCATCGGATTAGCAGCAAGTGTCCGGGATAGGAATGATTACGATGAACAGCCTGGATGAATATCGGTGAGTCGTTGATAAGCACATACTCATCTCGTACATACCTAGTCAATGCTTGCCGGATAATACTTGTATGTAAGATACAAGCATGTTCTCGTTGAAATATTTGGGTCTCTTCGGTTGGAGTCCACTTAGAGTTTTATTGTGATCTATTCATCTGATTTATGACTGCATAATTTGATAATGTTCTAGAAGGGCCCAAGTTCCCATTGTAGAGATCTTACCTCGCAAGCTCAGTTGCCGGTTGTTCAGTGTAGTGCTTCTTTTGGTATTTTTAAATTTTTCCTTTTTCTATTTGAACTATATTTGCTTGCATTTGTATGCAATATTTACTAATTTCAGGGTGGAAAGGAGAAGCAGGAAGTTCCTGTTGTGCAACTTAACCTAATACGCACAGCAGTAGATTTAAGTGTTGCTATTAGCAAGTCTGAAGTTGTGGATATGGTGCTGCCGAGGGCGATGCTTCAGCTGCTGGTTTACTGCAGATTCGTGTACGAACCTCTCCTTTAGAGCGCTTATTTGCTCTTATGTAATTGGAATGTTGCCCATAAATTCGCTTTATAAAACTGCAAGGTTCCCTCAGCAGCCTAGTTTCTCAGACTTTTCTTCCGCCTTTTGCTGCAGCTCCTTGTTGCTGTGTCTCATATAGCAAGTACAGGCTTTGAGAAGTCATTTTGCGAGACCGTGGTTTTGATGACAAGAAGCTACTTGAGCTGGCTTTCGAGTTTAGGGTCTGTTGAAAGCGAAAAACATTGGCCTGGGAAGCCACAACAGAACGCGTTGAGGTCTGCATAGTTTCCCTTTGTATCCTTTGCAAGTTGTACAAGGATAATTTGTCGAGTTTGTAACGTTAGGATGTGATTTACTAAATGGATTTTGACTTATTCCATGGTGTTGTGGACTCTTCTGCTGGGTTTCTTCTGATTGTCAGCCATCTTACAAGTACTAAATTGCGTACAGATTACTGTCACCGTCTGCTATCTTTGTGCTCAGATGTAGGCTTGGCAGAGGAGAGCAAAATGGGAAGGTATCATTTTCCTTAACATATATATGCCGGTAGCTTACTATAAATAGTTTGGGCCTTGTGCCCTACATAGTTGAGGCAACTTTATATTTTTTAGTTACTTCTGATAGTTCTTCCAAAAAGTGTTCCGATGTGCTTTACCTTAAAATCAGGGAGAGAAGCAGTTGTCAATTGCATTTGAAGGAAGTATAGGTTTGTGCTATGAATGATACGTTTAGACCTTCATTTTTGTCTTATTTGCTATTCCCATGGGACCAAGGGATAGGCATAGCTATTCTGATGGAATAGTTGTTCTTGATATGTTTTTCAATGACCTGTTGGATTAATTATCCCATCAGGAGGGGATGGGGAATAGAATAGCTTCTTTGCTGTAGCTAACACGCTGTGAGATATGCTTGTGTTCTTGCTTTTCCTCATTTGTAAATATGATCGGAATTTGTTATGACCACAACTCTTATGAGTTAAATTGCCAGACACCACTGTGATTAACTTCACAGCTTTGGGATAATAGTGAGAAGCCATTGTCAGAGCCGAAACTCTTTTTTCTATTTTATGTGTGGTTTCTATCTTTACCTGGTTGAAAAAATGGTGAAAAAAAGTGAAACCATTGGTATGGTGCTCCAGAAAGGGCTTTCTTTTTTTATTGTGAAAACGACGGTAAGGATGGCTTATAGAATGAGACCTTTGTTCTTCTGTATTCCAATTGTTGGGGAGTTGTTGGTGATACTTGCGCTATTGTGGGAGTGGAGCAGATCTTTTGGGCCCTCTACTTCCTGCTGTTGCTGAGATATGTACTGACTTCAATCCCTCGATGACGTGGAGCCATCTCTTTTGAAGTTATTTCGGAACTTATGGTTCTATGTAGCTCTTTTTGGTCTAGTATGGGAAGCATAAGTGCAATTCCTCTTTAGGCTGTGGGTGGACCGTACGCGTGGAACGCACGGCGGTCTGCTGCTGTCCAGGAAATTTCACAGGGGACTCCTCCCCTTGTAAGTTCATCTTACAAATTTTTTTTCTATCCTGCACAACCTTTCTTATGATTCATAGTTTGTCTTGATGCTATGGGAATTACCGAAAACAGCTCCAGATTTTTCTTTTATCATCACAAGAAACAATCATGTTCGCAGTTACCCGAAATAGCTCCTATTATGTCGTTGACTGAAATTGGGAGCTATTTTATGAAGGACACTGAATGCTGCAATTAGGTTGCAGATGGATGCCAGTTCTTGTGATCCTGTAAGTTTTTTCTCCTGCAGTATAGCTGGATATTTTGTTGCTTATCTATCTATATTGTTATGCCTTGAATAATTATTAATGATGGACAGTAAAGTTACACGACGATGTCGGATGATCCAAATAAGAGTTGCTTGGCATTCCCACTAAACAAGTGCTCACTCAATAAATGAAGAGGCCAAACATTTCTGAAGCTCTTGTTTTATATGTGATATATTATGATTTGCAATTTTAGAATGATTTTCATTCCATTGACGTCTCTCTTGATAAAAGAGAGAGATTTTCACAACTAAGAATTTCCATTTCTATATTGACATTAGCAACTTCCCTTTTTCATATATATTCTGCTTTTGCTGTTATTAAGGTCCTGCAGAGAAGTAGGAAATCTTTTTTTTTTTGTGCATGATCATGTACTTGGAACTGACAAATTTCAAAAGAGAGGTTTTAGCTTGTAAATAGGTGCTTTGTGTGTAACAGCATCTGAGTCAGTATACTGCAGTGGAGTGAGACAACTGGTGAATGCTGCATTGGGACTTTTAAGCATTCATTGGGTTGAGGCTTTTTGAACTTTGGGTTTTGAAAGGAATTTGTTTTGTGATTGACAAAGAGCAGAGATTGATGCTTGCTGCTAGCCCTCTATCAAATTTTTGGCTATCATAGAGGGAGAGAAACTTAAGGGCTTTAGAGAGTCTAGAGTGTAATTTCTTTGATGTAAAATTGGGGTTACCAGAAAGCGATATATTGCTGGAGATAGGTGTGAGCATGGGCTGGGCCACGTGGGCTTTTGCCAAAATTGTGGCCCAGCCCTAACACTCAGTCTAAGACTTTTGGTGGAGGCCTTGCCCAACCCGATGTTGAAAAGAATTTAACTCCAATCGTAAGCTACTGAATCTGGCAAGTCACTATTTTCAAACGTTTTTAGTTCCGCAGAGTATTTGCTGAAAAGCAAAGTCTTTATGGTTAATGCTATCTGCAAGAATATTATAATGTCAGGTGATTAATTGTAGCCTTGTGGGACCTCTTTCATATGTATAGGCTAAGTTTTCTCAAAAGTGTAAACTTTAGTATTTCTGGTTTCCTCGGATAAATGTACTTTCTGGTCTCTTCTTACTAAGATCAACTGCTTGACCTGATTGAAACTTTTTTGATAGTTCAAGTAAATTTGGCAATTGAACAGCATTCAAATTTTTGAAATGAGTTACTTTGCTCTCCAGGTAGTTAGCTCTGTGACATGGCTTGAAGATGAATTGGAATTTAATGCTCTCCACAACCCCGGTAGTTGCAGAGGGAGTGGCGATGAGAAAGCTGCTGTAGCCCACAGTGCTGCTCTTTCTGCTGCTTTGGGAGGGCGAGTAGATGTTGGAGGAATGAGCACAATTTCAGGTTAGGAAAGTCTGTCCGTTACACTATGTAGTTAACTTTTAGGTCTTACAGTGATTTTTGTTCCTCAGCTTCAATGTAAAGTTTTCTCAATCTGAAACTTTTTTGTCACTTATTTTACAGGTGTAATAGCCACATATCTTCTTGCAGTAGCGTTTTTAGAAATTATAAGATTTAGTAGCAATGGTTGCATCCTCAGTGGAAGCAAAACCTTGACCTCTAATAGAAGTGCATTCCGTTTTTTCTTTGCATACCTGAAAATGCCAAATCTTATGCCCGCAGTCTTTCAGTGTCTGATAGCAATTGTCATGGCTGGTATATTTTTTTTTGGAATTGAGACTGCCTTCTAAATAATTTACCTATGCAATTTAATCGTCTGAGGATATCTTGGCGCTGCTCTTCAATAGATTGTTCCATTTTGTTTATGCTATCATCTCGTGGAATTATTAGTATACTAATAAATTTGTCGGTAGTTTTGATAAATTCATCTATTTTGTTGTTGCAACTTGCTTGTAGGTTCTAGACTAGTAATTTTCTGCAAGATTGTTGTCTACAAAATAATTTCTTGCACTACTACCTGGGTGGGGTCTCAGACTAACTTTGGAAAAATGAAAAAGCAGGTTGGTTATGCTGAGGAATTAGAGTGGCGAAGGTGAATTAGAGAGCACCATGGCACTGGGTATATTAGGATCAGATGGGATGCCATGTCTGATGGCGCTGTGTAGAGATGGACTAAAAATTCTTCAGCCTGCCTTCTAACCTGAAGTGTTTTCTCACATCTTCAGGTCTCTCTTTTCCTGAGGAAGATTCTCATGAAGCCTAATCTAGTTAGAGGGGCTTAGAGGCGCTTAATGAGGCTAGATTAATCTGAATGATGCTTTTGCCTTGTTTGGAAGAGCTCATAAATTCAGGATCACTATTCAGTATGATTTTGCGATATCTTACTAATTGGAAAAAGGCTGGGTTATCTGTTTGAAATTCTTCCACATTAGTCAAAGTGGTGCTGCCCCTCTCTCTAACCACGTACACACACGTACAGCTCTATGCAGACTTAAATGTACTTTGCCTGTTCATCCGTGTTTTTTTGTAACCTATCTACGTGGATCTGCCTGTTTATTTGTCGAGTTGTGGGTGGAAATTGCTAATCATTTACTTTGGATTCAGGAAGATCGCATATTTGACACAGGCCTTGGGGCAGTGACTCTCTGAAATGAATGGTCGCAAATTCCAATGTAGGGGACACGGGATTTCTTCATTATAATAGCTTACTCTTCCGTGTCTTTCTGAAAACCTTTCTTATATGACCTGTGGTAGAGAAACTTCATATGTGGAGAAAACATATCCAACTTCTTAAATTTGGAATACGATTTGTTATGTAATCATATGCTATAATCATATGCTGGAAATTACGCTATTACTCCAGGGTGCAGGGGCATATTCAACTTTCAAAAAAAGGAGGAGAGGACCCCACTGCGATGCCAAATGTAAACTTTCCTCCCTGTTCAAAATGAGATCGCTTGCAAGAATGACAAACCAAGGAAACTGCTACAGCAACCAAGCCTCCTCTAGTTTAACATTTGCACGCACGTCGGTGAAGTTGGTGCTTATAATGATACTAATCACACGCTTAGCTGGGTGTGCATTTGGCAGTACTTCCCGTGTACAATTACTTGAAACATCAGAAAAACCCGACTATGTTGTTCATATAGCAAAAGGAAAGGCCACCATAAATTCAAGTAGAAGATCCAAGCTATGTGCAGGTTTTTGAGTGAAGTATATAGGATTCATGTTACGTTTCCTCTTTTCATAAAAACCCACATGCTGCTATGCATGGCGCAAAAGACTCATCATGAAGACGTTCTAAAGGAATAGCGATAGGATTTCCTCCACGTCCATGCATATGCATGAGACGTTAAAATCTTGATTATAAATTAACAAAGGTAAAATATAACGCAAGAAATGTTTCGTGTTGGGTGGCAGGTTAATGATAGACAAGATCTAAGGCTCGGTTGTCACTAAAATGTCGACTTACTTCAAAAGTCAAAGTCCTCGAGCTCGTATGTAGTTTGGGCCAGTGTTTGACATGAATGCACAAGGGAATGTCAAAAAGTAAGCACTGACGACATTCGTTGAAGACCAGCGAGGACATCGACGTTCATGAAAAAGTTATACCTCAAGATCATAAATTTGTTATCCAGTACAAAAGGAAAACCACCCAACCTTTAAGAGATCCAACGACCTACCGGATACTATGTTCCAGATACTATACCAATCTCGGTTAAGGAAACTGTTGAGAAGAAAACTGCATGAGAGTGGGAGCATTCCATCTTACACAATGATCGGAATGTTTATAAATGTAGCCAAAGACCAGACTAGGAACGTCATAGGACTATAGCCACAGAAACATTCCAACTTTGAGGTGAGGTGTAAAGGACTCAATATACAGCAAGGTGACAGAATCGATGAAAGACGGTGCATTAAACAGCAAACGACTCATCATCTACACAGCTCAAGGTTTACATGCCTCAAGAGTCGCGATGTAGCAACGCATGCTTGAAAAAAACGGACATATTATCAGAGCTGCATCATCGAGTTGCAACATATACTGTGAGTCCACACCCAGCAGTTCATCCCGGAATAGTAGAGAGAGGCTACTACCACCTATCCCAGCAAAAAATTTCAGAAGCAGGGTAAAAGTACTAGCAGATGGTCAAGCTCAAGCCAGTTTGGACGTGCTCCTAGCAATATAGCACCAGCAGCTAGAGGAGCGACTGAATCGCTGATAAGCCGAAACATAGAAAATCTTGCAAGCCAGGGGATCTTCGCTAATCTAAATCTCAGGGCAGGAACAAATTTGCAAGCAAACAATAGAAGACGCAAGGAAGCCCTTGGCGGCAACCCCTGTTGATCTTTCATATAGTTCGGTCGATGTAGACGGACCTAGCTGCCCGTGAACTGCGTCGTGCTAGTTTTCTGCAGTAACAGGCGTGCAATGGGAGACTATACCATACTTCCTAACCGTGAACCGAAATAAGGCTTCAGCTACATCCGTGCCACTTCAATATCCCACCTCACTTAATCAAAACAATCTCATGATTTTAGCTAACGAGCTTATTGTCTCTCATCTAGTTCCTCCAAAGTCGATAACAAGAACGGTATCAAGGATTCAGAGAGAGTAAATGTTAAATCCCCAGACAGAATCTTGCTTCTTTTTTTTCACCTCGCATCAGCAGCGGTGTGAAAAAGAAGGGAAAAACAAGAACATGATAAGGGCAGTTTGTCTGATAAAAAGCATGGTTAGGGAAGAGAGAGAGAGAGAGAGATGGACAGTGTAATCTCAGCTGGTGTAATAAGTACTAGCAGGAGCCGCTAAGTTAAAATTCTTATCGTAAAATTGCAACATGTAGATGATAACTAATCAAGTAAGTCAACAAGGACTTCTTCCTCACTCTTACATTTAAAAGCTGTGAAACTAAACATCACCAAAACTGCATACCTCAGAATTGCTACACTCATCAAGAGAAATGTATACCAGCCTTGCTAAACAAGGAGAGCAGGTACAAGAACTCCTGCTGCGTAAGCTTGGATGATCTTTTCTCTTCAAAATCCCCCTCCTTCAACACATTCAAAACTTTCGCCTTAAATTTGGACACTTCCCCTCCGTTGCCATCCTCCAACTCCATCTCGTCGTCTCCGCCGTCATCGACCTCCATCCTCAAGTCATCCCCATTATCTCCAAAATCCAAACCATCCATTCCAAAATTTGAATCCCCTGATAAATTACTCTGCGATTGTTGTAACGCCTGGAGAGTCTTATAATTCTTCTCCATCACTGAAAGGATTGTTTTCTGCCTGAAAATGGAACCGAGTGTTTTGTTCTTCCGATTGAAACATATGCGCATCAACCCATCAAACTCTCTCACGAGATTTGCGTCGGGAGCCGGTTTTCGTGGCTCGATCCTGACCACAGACGAGTCCACCTTTGGTGGCGGCCGGAAGTTGTTCTTTCCGACTTTGAGGAGATGAGAGACTCGAGCACGCAGTTGGGTGTTTGCGGAGAGACGGCAATAGAGATGATCACCGGGTTGAGCAACCAGTCTCATCGCGAATTCCCTCTGAAACATAATCACCGCACACTTGAAGGGCGGTTGGTGTTTCAATAACTTGAATGTGAGGGGAGAGGAGATCTGGTAAGGAATGTTGGCCACGCAAATGTCAAAGTAGGGTAGATCAGTCTTCAACACATCGCCCTGGATAACCTGAGCATATGGAAATTTGGAAAGAGAAACTTTGATCATCTCCAATAGCCTTTTTAAAGAAAAATTACAATGATCTTTAAAGGAACGCAAAGTAGTCAAAGAGCAGCCTTACGATTTCCACCACTCAATGAAGCAGAACAAGCATGCAATCAAGAGCAGTGATATACATTCTCAGAAACCAATAAAAACAGGACAGCCTTAATAATCTTCACGACTCAAGCAATTCGATCGGTACACATGTTACACGATTTTCATGGGGAAGAACGCTAATTCATCTTCTGCAACTAGCGCTTGACATTCGATTCAGACCTTTTTGCAAACACAAAAACTAGTCTTGCTGGTGTAGCTTGAATATAAAGCTCTACCAACATGTCAGAGTCTGTTAACCAAACATAGATGCAACGTATTCGAGCGATCCTTATGACTTCTTCACAGAGCAAGATAGATTGAAGCTACAAAACCTTAACATTTTCTAACCAGGTTGTTTGATGCTATGTACTCATAAAGTGGGATGCTCCAAAAACAAGGCACCAACAACGCAAGTCAATCCATATACCCATCAAAATCCTTTCAACTCCTCAAAGTCTGCTCAAAACTGCAAATTCACGCACAAAGGTCCTTCTTTTCACCAACAAAATCTGAAACCTTCCCAGACAAGTTCCGATTTCAAGATTCAATTCACCTTCAAGCGGCGCGAGTAAGGCGTGCCCTGAAACCGGCGCTGGAGCTCGAGGACCATGCGGGGGTCGAGCTCGACGGCGACGACGGACTTGCCGGCGTCGAGGAGCTTCTTGGTGAGGTTACCGGTACCGGGGCCGATCTCGAGGACGACGTCGGTGGCCTTGATCCCGGACTTCTGGACGATGGAGTCGACCAGGAGCGGGTTCTTCAGGATGTGCTGGCCCTTCGACTTGTGGAACGAGATGCCCCCCTGGTATGGCGCCGCGGCGGCCTTGCCCATGGCCTTCGGCTTGTCCTTCCTCACCTTGCCCCCCGCCATTGCCGGCGGAGCGTGGTCTCGAGCCTAGGGTTTCCGACGGTGACGGCGGCGGCGGCGGCGGCGGCGGCGAGGACGGCTTAGGGTTGGAGGCCGCGAGCTGCTCCGCCGCCTTCACTTTCTGTTGGAGAGTGGCGCGGGTGATCGTAGGTTCTGCCGTGCACAAGTTCGTGACTCCTGTTGTAAATTTTAAAATGTAGCATTATGTAATAAATATATATTTTATGATTTTGTTAAATATTTCTTAATAAAAGGCAATACTTGGTTACGGCTGATAATAAAATATTTATTTAGCCTCATTTTCATTAAACAACATTTATCCCGTCTAAATATTTTTTTTTTATTTTACTGCCCCATCCCCCATAATACTTTTCACTCACAGCTATATAGTTAACAAAAATATCTACTAAGCAAATAAAAGGAAAAATGACACAAACAATTATTGAATTTTGGCTTAATGTGTAATGTGATCTCTGTATTTTTAATTTGTTCAATATTGTCCCTGAACTTTAACTCAATGCAGAATGTGATCCCTCGATATTTAATTTGTTCAATGTAATCTTTGAAATTTTTGTAACATCTATAAAAATTTTAAAGATTATATTAAACAAATTAAAAGTTCAAGAACCACATTAAATATTAAGTTCAAGTTCAAGGACTACATTGAACAAATTAAAAGTTCATGGACTAAATTGAACGGTCAAAGTTTTTAATTCGCACTTTGAGGTGTGATGATGTCTTGGAAGTTCGGTTTGCTTATAAATGGCTGGAATACAGCTCGAGAAAGATGAAGCATAGATTCCATTCGTCAATCTGCTCTGTGTATGTTTGTAAAAGTTTCTGCTGCTGAAGAATCGAGCAATAGACCCTCCTACATGGCCTTGCTGGGGATGTTTTTATGCAACCAATCGAGGCCTTCGTAGAGTCCCTGTCCAGAAGTTGCAGAAGTGCTCTGTATATACCTGAACAAAATATTTTTCTTAGACAACAACAGTTGAGACGAAACCAATCTGTAACTCGCACAGAGCCTCTTCCTTCAGTGAATGACAAAACTAAAGCTTACCAGTGACGCTCACCGAGTGAATGCAGGCCGAGTTTGTCAGCAATTTCGGAGGCGTGCATAGGTTCATGCAGGTCTTGCTTGTTGGCAAATACAAGAAGAGCTGCATTACTCGATTCCTTCTGCCAAAGAAAATGATGTACTGTGACATGCAATTAATTTTAATGTAATGCCAAGGCCCGGAGACCTTGCAATTGCTGATTACAAATGAGTACCCTCTGAAGAACGTGAACTGAAGACAGTTATGCATCTGTTTCTCCTATTTTGTTCTCTTCTGCATAAAACTATATGCTTTTTGACCTTACCAAAAAAACCTATATGCTTTTTGAACTTTGCCTCATAGCTTATTGACAATAACCAGGCCATTGCTTCATTCCGAGTTGCTTTGAGGGCATTCCACTTTCAAATGGTGAAGACCAGCAGCATCAATGCAACGCAGAGGATGATAACAGAACTACTGGGATTGTCTTAGAACAGTATATATACATGACCTAGCGACTGACCTCACTTAGGATCTTATGCAACTCGCTCCGATCTTCGCCGATCCGCTCTCTGTCGGTGCTGTCCACCACAAAGATGAGTCCTTGTGCATTCTGGATGTAGTGTCTCCACAGAGGCCGGATCTGGTATCGCAGGTGTCTCCATATCAACTAAGCATGCAACCGACTTCGAAAACACGGTATAATACTCGACATCTTTCAGTCAAGGACATGGTGGCCTAGAAAGGGCTTCCTAATGCTGTATGTGATTATGCCATAAAACTTTACTTCTGTGGAAAAACGTTGGATGGCTTTTTGACCAGATTTTCACTACCTAACCTCTTAAAAGTAGTCACTTGTCACATAATAGAATTTGTGAATCACTCTTTCGAAATTAGGTATATTTAGGTGGACTTGGAATCAACTGCACCACGCACCTAGACACCATCACTTCGGTGGCGTCCACGCGGGTCCCACTTGATTACTAGATGTCCTGGTCCCGGCGTGTGTGCTCGATATGGAGCCCATGTGGTTTGGGAATTTATGCAATGGTGAAGGTTGTCACATTTATAAGTCGCCGACAGCATCTTGTGAGTACTAGGTGCTTGCTTAGTACTCAGTGTTTCCCAGGTGAGATGCTCTAATCACAAAACATGAATGTAATCTTCTACAGCCTCAGAATCTATATCAAACGCAACAAGATGAGGTGCTTAGTACTCTGTTTTTCCCAGGGGAGATGCTCTAACCACACAACAGGAATGTAATCTTGCACAGCTTCAGAATCTATCTCAAACGCAGCAAGGCTGAACATTTAAAGACAGAAGTCGTATTACCTTGTCCTGCCCTCCAACATCCCAATCATTAAAATTGACATCCCTGTACTCTACTGTCTCTACGTTGAAACCTGCCCAGTAGAGAATTATAACATATGATGACTGACCTGCACTCACTATTAAAGATTTAGACTTTTTCCTTTCCGTAATTTACAATCGTCTTCTGATATCCCATCTTCATGCTTTGGATTTCAATGTGTCATTATGTTAATTTCAGAGATTAGCACAAAACAGAGTGTGCTTAAAGATAAGTGGTAAAGTTAGATTAGATATGCTGGTAAAAGATTTCGGTTGAGAAAAAAAGGAAGACCAAAAGGTTCCTCATCATAAGTAAATGGTGTGTGTACCGATGGTTGGTATTGTTGTGACAACGTCGCCTAACTTCAGCTTGTACAGGATGGTCGTCTTGCCCGATGCATCAAGACCCACCATTAGTATCCTCAGCGCACTCTTCTTCAGAAACCTCTTTGCAAATTTAGATATCGCAACCCCCATGCTTGGAGTTTGTGCAGAGAGGGAGCAAGAACAGAGAAAGATGGAGTAAGATTGTTCCGTCAAGAGAGTAGACTGGAGAATGAGATGGGAAACAACTTGAAAATGAATGAAAATGGCCACTTGAAAGGAAGCCTATGGTCGAGGAAAGATCAGACCTTTTGTTAAGAAGATCTCTTATTCACAAAGTAAGCACCTTGTGAGACGCAATTGCAAGAAAAGGGAAATGGAATTGATTCTTGTATAAAGAAGAGGAAAAGTCGATTGTATTAAAACCCTGATTGATGCAGGGGTACAAGTGCCAACATCTAAAGGCACACGATCACTGACATAACCAACACTACCTCTAAAGTATCCAAGCATATCTTTAGACTTGAAAAGGCTAAAAAATAAAATGTACATTAAGTGCCCATTTCAGCAGAAGTGTTCAGGCTTTCCTTTTCAATGTGATAACTCCTCCATACCAGATCTAAAGGGAGGGACAGGGAAAGGTTCCATGATGCCAGAAACAGATAGGCAAACTCTTAAAGGGGAAAATGCAATTTTCTATGCGACAGTGGTTAATGGAGTTATTCCTCCTTTTACTTCACCCTGTTTGATAAAAGAATAAATTGGATCATGAGAGTTGATTCAGCAGCATTCTCAGTGTCAAGAGGAAGCTAAAGGCACAAAGCTAAAATTGCTTTCATAGAGAATGCAATGATTTACCCACCAACCATGGTCAAAAAGATGAAGTAAAAGGAAATGCAAATCAGAAGAAAGAGGGAAGAAAATTCCATTACTTTTGCGGTCACAAAGTCGAATGACATGTATCCCTTACAAAAATTACAACTAGAGAATGTGTACTGAGTCATCTCCTCACAGCAACAAACTTTACAGACACAAACATCACCATGGATCCAATCACTTGCTAGATGCGGACTGGAATATAAAGACTGCCGTCAGGACTCCCACTAATGCTGTAACGGCCAAAGCGAGTGTCGGCAAAGGGGATGTCAGCCCAAAGTTCTGCAGGGATGAAGTCAAAATTATCTCGTGAGATACTTCTCAAACTGTGAACATAGTAAGTTATGTAGCTAGGAGTGCACCTCACGGCAGTGAGGAACTCCAACGAAGCTTTACCTAAAATCAAAAGGAAGCTGTTTGTGCAATACTAACTTCTAGAAACATATCTACCTTCATTTGATTAGCTTCTATTCTGTGCTGTGTAAACTGAATTCTAGGAAATAACTTCCGAGATAAAACAGAAGTTCTCTCATCTGCCAATAGACTCATCAAAATTCCAGATACTAATTTAGCTCCAGAGAATAGCTTATTGGTTTTTGACAGCGCAAGTCATTGTTGGCATCAACTGTAAATAAACACAAAGTCAAAAAGGCTATCAATTTCAAGGCCAAGAAAATATCTATGGAGTACTTATAATATGTATCTCATCTCATGCATTTGTAATTAGTGCCAGGGTGGAGCTTCAGCCAGGATATACTTCAAATCTCAGAAAAAGACTTCTACAAGTTCCTTTAATACCCCAAAGTTAGGACTAAGGTTCTATTACTGCCAACTACGTTAATATCCACAGCCAGACTTCCGAAGTTAATTTAAAGGGAGAGATGTCACCGCAGCCATGCCCGCTATTTTTTCTTCTTTAGAGGGAAAAGAAAAAGACCGTAAGTCCCAACACAATTACTTATCTTGACAAGCTGCTATACGACTTCATGCGGCATGGATCTTAACATGAAAAGTATCTGTAATTGATGAGTACCCAAAGGCAGAAACCACAATAGGAAAAGAATGCTATTTGGCAGTTTCGATTTAAAATTCAGACCATGTGCCACCCATACCTCCAAAAGTCCCTTGCCTGTTCCTATTTCAACACTGATTGCCAAGTTCATTTCAATGGCATCAAACATAGTTATCCTTGCACTAGCCAGAGGCAGAAAACTTGATAGAAAAAACCATATCACCTGTTCATGAATTCCACAAGACAAATGTACAAGTAACAGCCGAGAAGATGAATCGGTATGTGGGGATCTCAGTTAAATTCCACAATGATAATATGCAAGAAATCCACGGCGGTGACAAAAAAGGAGGGTGGCTGACATTGGCATTAGCAACGAGAGAAAGAGATGTTAGAACATGTTGTATAGTTTTGTAGGTTTTCCTTTACATCTCTTCTTTCTCTTTGGTCCCACATAGGAAGAATGCTAGGCTCCTTTACTCCTCTAAGCCTATATAAAGGCTTCTCATGTATATTGTTTCTCACACCATTATAAGAGAATAAATACCATTCTCTTTTAATCTTTCTTTCTTATCAAGAGATACCTAATAGTAAGTGGAGATGTTAATAAAGATTATGTGCTCATTGCTAGTTAAAGAGCACTTATTGCCACAAAATTCTTTCTGCTTCATAACTTCTAGCAGGATTCATGAAGAGTGTGGTGCCTAAATAAACGATAAAAGCTATTCCTTCTGCCATTATTTTCGTAACGTTTTCATGTGATTCCTGGATATTGTGGTGCCTAACTAGACGACAAAAGCTATCCCAAAGTGAACCATTGGGTAAGTAGATATTTCACCCTTGATCGGATCAGCACTGAACACATACAAACATCCATAAAGAAGACTAGATTAAATGAAGACCATAAAAACAAACTTGAAGTTTTAATACCAAATGCTAATGCTAGATAAGTGTGTAAAAATAAATCTAAAAGCTCGACAAAATCAACTTCCACCTAAATGAGATGTCATATTCCTAGACACAGTATTAAATGTAGATGCATTAAGGTCAAGCCTCTCTTTGCGCTGTCGCGTCCTCCACCCGAAACCTCCACAAGTTCAAAGTACCAAAAATCTGCTGCATCTCCTCAAGTGTCTGCCCTTGGGTCCTCGGCATTATCCGGCGGATGAAGATGTGTGCCAAAAGCGTGATCGCCATGAACAAAAAGGCAACCCCACCAAAGGTGATCCCCTCGTGTGTGTATATATATAAGACGATTATTGCCATCGCTCCACTCATAATTTGTTTAAGGCCGACACTGATTGCATTCCGCAGCGCAAGCAGCCTCAACGGAAAGATATCTGAACTATACATCGATAGGATTGGTCCTATTCCGATAAAGTAGGGGCCCACGCAGATCACCAATGAGACGATACACATGCCCACAGCCCACCCAGTCTTTGTGTTGCCGTTGTGGAGGACAATGAGGGAAATTCCAAGAAGGACCAACCCGAAGATCATCTCCTTGATGCTTATCAGCAGCAATCGCTTCCGCCCAACCTTGTCAAGGCAGAAGGTGGGGATAAGGATGGGCACTGCTTTTAAAACGTGGATTAAGAGGGTCGAGGTTAGTTTTGAGTTGGAGGAGGTAATGTTCGCCATCTAAAAAATGCGAGGGCGGTAGAGGACGAGAGTGTCGATGCCACAGCATTGCTGGAGTAAGTGGTTCCCAATGGTGCAACCGAGCATGTGGCGAATGATTGGGATCGGGTGGAGGAGGAGATCATACCACACACCCTCCCCAGTACTTTGCATGTTGACTTGGACATTGTTATTGTTCTCCACAGGCATGCCAATAGCCTCCGTGATGCTAGCAAGCCGGATGTCGACCTTCTCCTCAAATTGGAGATCCTGATGAGAATGTCGTGTCTCGATCTGATGACCACCCTGCATGACGAGCCACCTTAAATCAGAGAATTAGAACGATAAGGTCGTCGTCACAAGTCATTAAGAGAAGACTCAGATCAACTCAGATTTTCACGCAAGCAACGTTTGCGCAACTCAACATAGTATTACGGTCAAAGCAAGAAGAGGGATAAACATTACCCTGGTTTATCGGTGATGTGAAGATTGCAACAAGTGTTTGAGACGGCGAAAGATGTTTCGAAGGAGAGGACTCTTCGTACCTGTTCAGCCAAAAAACAGAGCTGCTTTTGAATCTCGATTGACCAAGCATAGATGTCAGATCTCTGATACGAGTATTACAGAACGAAAAAGCTTCGAAACTCCACAGCTCAACCAATCCGATCGCTCCAATCCAAAAAGTTTTTAGCACGGCAAAGAGGAAGGATGATTGCTTCGTCCAAGGACCAAAGAAAGCTCTCCTTTACGTGTATATCCTTTGACGATGAAAACTGATTCTGCTCAGCAGGTTCTAGAAGCAATTGTGCGAGTCACCTTCTTCGTATGCGCATGAACTTTCGGGTTTTTTTTTTCATTTCTTTTTTGACCTTCTTCCTTCTGCATCAGAGAAAACTGGATAGGGAGAATAATAGAGAGATAAACTGGGCTCGCGGATTGATGGGCTCTTTACGAATCGGGCTTGTACAAATTGGATCCAAGTTCATGGGCTGAAATGAATTTCAAATTAAACCGGGCTTATGGGCAAAAGCGATGCAAATTGGTTTCCATGAATTGGGCCGGTGCAAATACATAAATGGATAAATTGGGCTGTCTTTTTACTTATTATTATCTATTTTTGTTATTATTTTTCTTATCTTAGTGCTTTTACAAGAACGAAAATTTGAATTATTATTGACTAAAATTCAGGTGTCAACAGCCGTCTTTCCTTGAAAGAGAACTCAAGGAGAGGTTCCTTTTAAAGATAAAATGATACCTGAATTTTGCGTGAAGATATACCTCTAAACCTTACTTCAGGCTTTGAGCATCTGGGTCTATTATGAGGCCTATTCTTATTTTTTTGGGTGGAATTGATTTTTTTTAAGGAAAACTAGAAAGAATTTAATACTTATCCGACATTACCTAAGAGGTAAAAGAAGATTTATAGCTCGGAGGCGAAGGGACTGAAACCCCGAAGAAATGCCTAGGGACTAAAACGCGATAAACTGCAAAGAAGATAACACCCTATAGAAAGGCCTAAGGGCTAAAACCTATGAGAGACCGAGGGCATAAAACCCTCAAGAAATGCCTCGGGGCTAAGAACCTATGAACGGAGGGGACAAAACCGTATAAAAAGGCGCCGGGTCTAAAGCGGCCGAGGGGATAAAACCCTAAAGAAATGCTTATCTGACTACAGAACGGGCATGACCACATTGTCTCTGGTGAAGGCAACGTTCTTGGCGGCGAAATCTAGCGACAACTCAGTAGCTTTAGAGAGGTAATAAAGAAATCGATGAAGAACGAAGCAATGGCCTCATCGTTGAAGGATTGCGGCCGAAACGAGAGGTCGAAAGAGGAGGGAATCAAGTGCAGGAGCTCGATAATGACTAAGTATGGCCATTTATCGAACACATCTTCGGACTTGGAGAGGAAACGAGCGACGACGAGAACTGCATTGAGTTGTGAACGCGAAACCCTACGAGATCCGGTGAGGACGGACTCGGATTGGGGACATCTGCCAAAAATCCATGCTTATTTATTGGCGAATTGACTCGGATTCTGTGCGATGAGGTTACAGCGCTCAATCAATGCCTCCACTGCCATCAAACTCCCGCAACTCAGGGAAAGTCTTCGACCTAGAGACCTATGCTACGCCGAGTGCCTCACATAGAGTTTCAAAGCTCGATCAGGTCATAGAAGCACAGAGGTTGAATGCGCAATGCAATTATACAGTACGACACGAGCATGCAAATGGAGGATGGAGGATGGAGAGGAGGGTTTGCGAAGAAGAACGAAGCTAGACGCTGATGGCGATCGGAAGTGACAATTTGGATGGTTTCCGTTCTCTGTCGCAAATAACAGCTTTCGCGAGCTCACTCTTTTCGTTCTCTCTGTCTATTAGGAATATTGATGACATTTTCGTTTTGTTCTATGCGCATCTTTACCTTTTTTATTTTCTTGATTCTCCGGTTATGGGTCGAGCCCTGCTTGTATTGGACCCAAACCGTTTTTTTTTATTTGCAAAAAAAAACAGAACTCCTATCTCTAGGCAATTGAGCCTAACAAAAATCAGGGTCAACAAGCATCGTCATTCATCGATGACGATCTCCAGCATTTGGAGGAGATAAAAAATCGGACCAGAAAATTATTATCAATGAAAAGGAAATAAAGGTTATGTGAAATTAAAGGCACCATAGAAGTTTATGAATCTATCTTAGCTACATCTCCAGTCGTAATCTCTTATTCATTTATGTTAATACAATGTTGTTAATAATTGCCACAGGCAACCAATTAAGGAAATTTTAGAGTTTCCAATGCATTGGCAATTCTTATGTCGTACGATTAGTATCTTGGCAATTAAATTACTCCAAATAAAGTACACTCGACCAATGCCCCATTGTGTATTAGCATTTCGGATCCTAACAAAGTGATGTACCAATACTTAGACCCATCTCGATTTTCTTCATTGATATTTTATAATTAGATTGAACATCCCATAATTCTTTAGTTTGATTGCAACTATCCTCCTAACAAAGGATAGCAGTTCAAAAAGAGAAATCCGCATAAAGATTAACTGGTCGGCTCAAAAAGGCCCAGGTAATTGTCGAAACCATGGAACTAAGATTATGAGAGGGAACAACTTTATCAGAATCAGGAGCATCTATTTCTTATATTGATGTTCAAATCTTTCCCAATTTCGTTTAAGGTAAATAAGCTGAGTGGACCTAACCTAGTTAGACTTCACAGTGCCATCCCCTCCATTCCCCAACCTTCCGTGCAGTTTTTGGCCAAAAATGGCGATTTTCAACGGCGATTGAATCATACTTTGTTGGCTAGTCTGGCGCTCAGTTCGGCGGGATTGATCGAGGCACGCAAAAACTGGTGAGGTCATATTTAACCCCATCACTGGTTTCTTCAATCAGTCTTTTGATCGGTGGATTTCAAATACGGGCAAAGTCACGTGCAAACTTCATTAAAGATAAATGTGAATGATGTCTATTACGCAACTTCTTGAACAAATGTGCTCTTCTTCGAGATATATAATCCA